GCTTCCAATATGAGTAGTTATTGGCTGTGAGCTTGAACATGTCTCCATCATGAGCAACATTATCCTCCATCTTGAACTGTACGAGCTAATTACGGCTACAGATGAACTTGACTATGGTATCATTGTTGGGAATCACAGTTTTTCCCGCTTCTTGAAGTTAATATAGGCACTTAGAGATTAAGGATAGTAAAGAGAGCACAAGAGTATAATTCTCCAATTTGGAGATTCTTCCACTATACAAAAGAATAGTAGGATTAAAGGATGTGTTCACAAAATTTGACTCACACTTGGTGGCTTACTCAAGCTTGAGGATAAAGACTTCCCAAGCTATCTCCCTTCTCTCTCAAAGAGACTCTCTAATTCTTCTAGTTTCTCACTCTAAGAAGTGGACTCTCTTAGTATTTTAGGATTTCTTGGATGGTTAAGAATGAAGTCTCTCACCCCTATTTATACTACTCCACCTCTATAATGAATGGTGGAGATTACTTACATCCAGAATGCTCCACACATTCTAAGAAGCTCTACACTCTTCCACTCCCTTCCATATTCTTCCATACTCTTCCATAAGGTTCCACACTCTTCCATAAGGTTCCACACTTCTCCAGAATATTTCATAGGATTTCACACTCTACCACAAGCTTCTAGAGAGTTTTACACTTCTCTAGAGTTTTCCGAATTGTTCTAGAAAATTCTACACTTCTCTATAAAGCTCTAAAATTTCTAGAACCTCTCCAATTAAGGAGAGATCCAACAATTCTCCCTTTGTGTTTACAAACGTCGTTAAAGACTTGTACTTTAGTGGCGTTTTTATACAAACGCCGCTATAGACTTGTACTTTAGTGGCGTTTTTGTACAAACGCCACTATAGCCTAACGTGTGTATAATATCTGTGGACTGCTGGAGCAGCAGATTTCGCCATCTTCTTTGGCTGATAAATCTCAGATTTGGCAACAGCTTCAGCACTACTCTCAGTTCCCAGACTTCAACAACTATCTCATTTTCATCCTAGCACGAGCCGAGGTTTGCTATCTCCGTTTATTTCCACACCGACCAGCTTACATAAATTTCTTTCCCTGTTGTTTTTCGTTTTTCCCGAGGAACTGGATTATGGGTATTGATTGGGTTATATGTTAATGGAGGAGATACGATTACCGTTCTCATTTATTTTGGGGAATTTTTTTTTATTGGATTATGCTTCTATTCGATACTAGAAATGGGTTTTTCTAGGGTTAGTTACACTGTAATATAATTTGCAAAGATTATCCATTTCTTTGATGAAGTGCATTCCGGGTATTTGATTGAATTACATGTTTAAAACTGAAAATACTATTTACTACTAAATTTCCTCAATTGGAGACGCGATATTTGAAAGTGTTCCCCTTAGTTATATCAAATTAAGGTTGGGTAATCCTTAACTACATGTATAGTGGGACATGAGGCAGTATTTAGATGCAAGTGACAGATATAAAAAACCTCCACAACGAGTGTTGCATGCAGATTTGAATCGTAGGCTTGTAGTCCATGTATAGAGTACAGATAAGAGCATAAGTTATGCAGAAACTGCATAAGCAGTCATTTTTGTACTCATAGTATGTTATCTTATGCGTTGGTAATCTAACGATTACAAACTGAACTATATAATGGATTGATTAAGAGAGGACCTTTTAGCTGGCACCTGAAATATAATTCGGTGTAAAAGTGTGCTTTTACTATTTGGTATAGTTTCTTGCTAGCTTAAGTTCTCTACTTTGTCTACCTAGGAATGACCACAACTGCCCATCCAGATAGGTCTTCGTTATCCATATATTAGGTTAAGCAGAGTATATTTTTTTCACCTCCCTGCTGGAATTTGTGTACGGTCATTAATATTTTTGCCAGACTTGACTTTAATCTTCCAATTTCGTCTGTTGCATTCAGGACTTGATGCTTTCCAAGCTGAGCAAGTAATGGAAACACTCTGCCTACTTGCACAAGATGGTCATACTGTAATTTGCTCAATACATCAACCAAGAGGTTCTATGTATGACAAATTTGACGACATCGTGTTGCTAACAGAGGGCGCACTTGTTTATGCTGGCACTGCACATGATCAGCCACTGGAATACTTCTCCAGATTTGGGGTCTAATCAAACTTCGCTCCTGTTAATTACGGAATGCACTGCCTGCCTGAATACCATGGTTCTTTGTTTAGTTTTAAATTTTTTTATACGGATTGAGTGATTTTATTGACAGTGACTTGTGATTGGAAGGTGCCTGCCAAAACCTGGGACATGTAATACCTTGATTTAAAAATATTTAACCTCTAAAAGGTTCATGGTTGGTTTTAGGACGAAAATTATCCATCGAGTTTTCTTGCTAGGGATTCTGATTAGCATCGATATACTTGTACGCTGGATGAGGTTTCTAATGTAACACTAGCACTCGCATTATGCTTGAAATATAGCTGCATGTTTCCGCATATGTCTTCTTAAAACTTGGTAGTACAAGGAAAAAGATAATATTGCTATAGCCTCATCATTTACCATTATATTGTTAATGTGTGATACTGATGCATTGCTTTGTACGTTATCTTGTGAACTCGCTATGTTTTTCATTTTGTTTAGGAAAGCGGATGATCTACACATATTCTCCACACCCATCATATATATATTATTGTTTCATTGATTTCATGTTTGAAACACTTTTGAAAATCATGAACTGGTTATTTTCTTCTGCTTTTCTTTGCTTTAATAAATAATTGACTGTTTTTCAAGCTCTGTTTCTAGATGAAATTATCTAACAACAATGTACCATAATCTGAAATTATGAGACTTATGCTTGAATATTTGGTTAATCAACAGGTGCCAGTGCCCAGATCATGCAAATCCTGCTGAATTTTTGGCTGATCTTATATCCTTTAACTATAGTTCTGCTGGTAGTGTCTACTCTTCTCAGAAAAGAATTGATGCTCTTGTTGAAGCATTCCCAACACAGTCATCAGCCATGCTTTATGCTACTTCACTTAGCTGAAAGGCCTATCAACATATTTCTTCCTCGGTTATTTCAGGTGAAATGCATATTTGTATTTTTAAATTGTCAGCATTTTAAAATTTTCTAACTATATCTGTTTTTCTATGAGCAGTTTTTCAGTCTCCCCATGCCTCTCTGAGAAAGCCATTATTGGGTTCTGTAAACCAATATATTATGTTGATGCCTTCTGTAAGTTAACTTAGAAGTTTGGACATTTATATTCTTCTTGTGATGGACGTTATTCTGAATTTCTGATGCTTTCAGGGTAATACCTGAATTGTGCCTTGATGTCTTTCAGGCCTTATATACATCCATGGATAAATACCTTCATGGTTTGTTTGCCCTTGCTAATGACCCTGCAGCAGAAGTGCGGAAATTGGTGAATAGTTTCTGCTTTTCTCTTTTAGTCTTATTGTATCGATAATCTAATATTTTCCATGGAATACTCCACTGTAAATTATTTCCTAATTTTCCTTATAATTTATTGTTGAAGAGAAATAAAAGCTTGACATGAATTACTTATCATTTCCGATTTTCTGATTTGAACACTTATTTCCATGGAAGACTAGAGTTTTCGATATTAATGGTTCTTTTTTCCTTATTATGAGCCTTTTTGCGGCGATTGTATCAAAAAACGACGCTATAGATATGATCTTTTGCGACGTTTGTTCCCAAAACACCGCTATAGATCTGACCTTTTGCGACGTTTATTATGAAAACACTGCTATAGAACTGACCTTTTACGGAGTTTTTTCCAAAAACGCCGCTATAGATCTCGACATTTTGCCGCGTTTGTTCCAAAAACGCCACTATAGATATCGACCTTTTGCGGCGTTTATTCCAAAAACGCCGCGATATATCTTGACCTATTACGGCGTTTTTTGTTCTCAAACTTGCTAACTTTAGCGGCGCTGGAATGCCCGGCGCTTCTTGCGGCGTTTTTCCTATCGCTGCAAGTGTTTTTAGCGGCGTTTAAAAACACCGCTATAGGACTAAAAAAATACCGCTAAAACTCTATTTTGTTGTAGTTACAGATAAACTGAGGCTCTCAATAGGGGTTTGGAAATGCATAATTGAGATCAAAGTGTCGATAAAATTAAGTCAGAGATTCTTTTAGGCCATTCAGATTATGAAATGAGTTGGAAATGTGGCCTATAAATTAGATTGACCAGCTTCAACTCGATGACGCCTTATTTTTCATATTTCTCAACTAAAACCATGTCAAGGATACCCTTCTAAAATAACGACCAACCATAATTGAATTATAAGGTGATAAGTTGTTCAATTTTGAAACAAATGATTCCTTTAAAATTAAATATTTATAAAATTTTAAATGAATTATGATTCAATTTCGCTAATTCTGGGATTAAAGGGTCTTAAAGAATAATGAAATCAGATCGACATATAATTTTATTTCAAAATTGAAAGAGTCCTATTTCGTTATTTCTCTTGTATAGCAATCCACAATTATGGTTTATGTAAACGAGAAAATAATAATAAAAATGACAAAAAGGAGAAACTAGCTTTGTCATTTGCTTGGTATAGAATTGTACAATAAATAAATTTAACTTAAAGTATTGCTCTTAGCTACCCTGTTGCTATCTTGCCAACTACCACCATTTCAACGAGTTTAGAATCACACCATCATCCATGAATAATTCCATATTTTATAAATGGGTAACCACATATTAAGTCACCAAAATATTTGTGTCGTTTCATTTTAGTCATTCAATTATTCTTTTTAAAAATCATATTATATTTTAATTTTATTTTAATAACTCATTATTAAAAAATATAAAATTAAAATATAATGTTAGATATAATTTAAAAAAAAAATTAAGTGATTAAAGTGAAATCACACAAATAATTAGGTGACCCTTTATAAATAAACACCCCAACCCAAGAGAAAAACAAAACAAATTATCTTTAAGATCTATTGACAAACTCAAAGTCGAATAATTACATTATGTAAAAGAAAAGAAAAAACAGAGCAAAAGAAATCCTCTGATGAATCTCAAAACACTGAAAACCAGAGAACAGATTATATATATATATATATACGGCAATTAAAAATTTGCCATTTCTTGCTCTAAATAAGTATATAAAAAAGAGAGATAAAAATTAAACCTGGGTTTTATTTTTGTCGGGTTAGTCCTCAAAACCTGTTTTTTTCCAGACAGCATTTCTAACACGACGCAAATCTCTTCCTTTCAAAGTCCTTCCGATTCCTTCATGAACCGAAAACGAAGCCCTTCTCGTCCTTGCCAAGTATTCATGCGGCGGAACCCTTCCTTCGTCATCACCCTCTCCGCCGCCGCCGAAGACGGCATCTTCGTCGGTCTTCCCGTGTTCTCTGTATTCCGCTTTGAGAATCTTGGACCAGTCCGGGATGTTGACCGGCAATGAAGCTGAAGCAGCTGCCATTTGGGGACACCTGTGTTTATTGTTATCATTGATCTGAATCTCCATCTTCTTGGAAACTTTCTTAGACGAAGCTCGTGAACCGGGCAATGGCTTCTTGGGTTCCGAGTTGGTCGTTGTCGGATCATTTGAATTGTTCCAGACATCAACCTCGTCGAAATCGAAGAGATTAAGAGGTTTATCAGATGAAGAGTTGAGATTTGCATCATTAAATTCCATGGTTGGGTAGATATATCTTGGTTTTGAGCCGAAAAACATCTTCCTTGATGCCATTTTTGAAACCCCAAAACAAAAAAAAACCAAAAAACAAAGGAATTAACAACACAATAATATACGAGGGATTTTAAAGAAGAAGAGGAGGAGAAATATTGGCTCTGTCTTGTTTTTAAAGTATTGCTTTGCCTTGCTTCGATCTCTTCTTTGGGTGATACGGTTGATGATCATCTTGCATTTTATACTAGCGCAGAGGATAAGTTCTCATGAGTAAACGCAACGTAATAAAATATGGAGAGAAAAGTTTCCCATGTTTGCTTCCTCAGGATGTACATGTGGACTTCCCCATTTGATTTTCTCAATTATAGGTTTGATTTCAAGTTTCACAAGGTGATGGATTTTCAACATTCAGAGGATCTATTTTCGAAAGAGAAAATAACATCAGTGACAAAAAATGTCTTATAATATACGAATTTCATCAATTTTTTTTGGATTTGTCAAAATGACCAACAAATTCGTATCGCGATCTCAAATTCGCAACGCGAATTCCAATTTCGCAACTCAGTTTCCAATTTCGCAACACGAATATGTAAATCGCATTGCGATTTTCCAAATTCGCAACGCGAAAGTCAAATTCGCACACAGAAGTCAAATTCGTAACGCGATAGTCAAATTCGCAACGCAAAAGTCAAATGTTTTTACGCGAAACACAATATTAATTTCGCAACACAAATGTAAACATTATTATCGCAAATCATCTCTAACATAAAACCCTAAAGCACAACTCAGTCTCATCTCCATCTCTCACTCTCTACGGCGACATCCGTACCCATCTCCGACGAAATCCGTCTCCATTTTCGACGAAATCCGTTTATCTCCATCTCTCAGAGCAACCCTCACAACCATTCACGGTCAGAAATGAAAAATCAACCACCGATGGTTAGTTTTTTTAATCTCTTATTTTTATTTTGAAATTTGTGTATTATTAGATTAACCAGTTCACTGAGACTGTTAAATTCATTCGGTTGTTGCCAATACTGCTAAACTGTTTAGTCTTTAACCCTGTGAAGTTAGTATTTGTCTTTGTTTTGTCTTTTTGTTTTGTCTTTTCGTTTTATCTTTTTGTTGAAGAAACCCTAAATCACAACACGAAAATTACAACGCGAAAATGAAAATCGCAACACAAAACTAAAATCACGTTGCGAATTTAAGTTTCAGAAACTTCTTTTATTCTGCAAATTGAAACTTGAATGAATTGCATTACTTCAACCAAAAAACAAAGACAAATACTAACTTCACAGTGTTGCTAATTTAAGTTTCAAGATTAAACTACTACTCTTTATGTTGTCCTTGAACCTGCACTAAACCTATATTATCCTTTTAAATGTTTATATAAGTGCTTACTTCTGGAATGTTATCTGATGCATTTTGTGAACTATGATGGAATAATGACTTGGGTGAATATCGTGCTAGTTTGAAACATATTTGGCTTTGTTTTCACTGTTTAATATCATGTCTGTTTATAGTGTATAATTTGTAGTTTTTGGTATATCTAACTTGGTATGTTTATTGTTTTTGTAGAAATTTTTTTCGGCTATATTGACCTTAAGGAATAAATTAAGCCTAGCCACTAAAATTGCGTCGACGCTTTCACCTCTACAAAGAAAATTGTTTGAGGATACTTGCTTTGGGCCATGGCTGAAAGTGCAACATACGGGTGGAGATGCTATGTTGACACATTTGTTTCTTCAGACCATGACTAACGATCTACCCGAGGGGGTACAACGTGGTGATGAGGAGATATGGTTTCATTTTCCTCCAGCACCGGCGTATGCTTGTTTTGGGCGGGAGGAGTTTTGCTTAATCACCGGTCTACACTTTGGACACGATGATATAGGTCGGTACACTAGTCATATCGCCCGCCCATCATTGTTATATCGGGTTTTTCCTGAGCTAGCAAAGTCAAAACCGAGTATACACGTCGACGACTTGAAGAGATTATTTGATAAAGATGGTTTTATCCGGATGGATGACCTTGATGTTGTCCGAGTATGCCATTTATTACTTTTGCATGCTGTCTTTTTAGGCAAAGAGGGCAGACAACCAATCTCTGAGGACCTAATATTATTGTTAGAGGACCTAAATGCATGAAACCTGTTTCCGTGGGGTTCATATCTATGGAAAGCTACCTGGAAGAAGTTGTCGTCTGCCTTTGAGGACCGAAAAAGTTTGCAGGGCGATGGTTCTAAATACACTTTGACAGGCTTTACTTGGCCCTTTAAGGTAATAATTTCTATAATATAATGTTTCCAAAATTATAATTAATTATTTAACAATTACTAATGTTTGTGTATTATATTATTTGTAGATTTGGATATTTGAGGCTTTCCCCAGTATGCGGACATATGCGATAAAAAGATCAAATGATATTCCTAGGGCTATTACCTGGAAGAGGATCCACATGTTGGATTGGGAAGAGTTACTCCCATATATGACGATGAATAATGTAAGTTAACACACAAATAATACCATATAAACAAGTTGATTTCTAGTACAAGTTTAACTTTGTTTGAGCTTTTATATTGTTAGGTGGCCAACTATCCATTACAGAGGCTGACACCCACAGAGGTTGAGCTTGCCACTGATTGGTGGCAAGCTAGTAAGCGGTATTTTGATGGGACAGATGATGAGCACCCCCACCTCGAGAGCCATCACTTGATCGGGCCGATTCTACAGCTCGACACCCGGAGCCATCACCTGATCGAGCCTCTTCTCCACCTCCACCATCACCTATTCCATCACATCATCGAGCCTCTTCTCCACCATCACCTCATGATAGGCGACTGACAAAGAGGCCACGACATTTATCTCCCTGTTCTCCACCTCCACGGGATGAGTTAGGGAATTACTTGATGAGGTCGGTACTTTGCGTCATGAGGTCGTACTTTACATAAAGATAATGGTGCATGGCGCGATGAGGATCGATCTTTACGTGGTGAGGTGGATTTTTTACGCGATGACAATGGTGCGCTACGCGGTGAGTTATCTACCTTACGTGATGAGGTTGCCGCTCTACGCGAGATTGTTTCATTGTTGCAGAATGAGGTTAATACTCTACGCAATGAGGTAAATTTGTTTAATACTATACTAAAAATGCAAATAACTTTTTTTTGGTATTATTTATTTATTTATTTACTGATTTATATATTAATTTATTTTCAGCGGCCCGATAAGGTAGATGCTTTATATAGGGTTTTTCTTGCACGATGGGGTTCACGCATCAGACGTCGTACACATACCATTACGTCTCCGTTCACCCCATTAGTGCCAAGACTCCGTAAGAATAAGCCCGATGCACCTATCATCATTCAAGAGGCGCCTCCTATCGTTCAAGAGGCCTCTCTCATCATCGAATAAGCCCCTCCCACCGTTCAAGAGTCCCCTTTCATCGTTCAAGAGGTCTTTTCTGCCGTTCAAGAGCCCGATTCATATGGCGTCATAAGTTGACATATTGATAAACCCCCTCCCGTGCCCGATATGATGGATGTGAGTTGACTTTCGTATGTGCTACTGGCCAGTACTATTCCTCAACAGGAGAGGGAAACACTACCAGAAACAATTACAGATAATACCCTTTGGGCTAAGATCGCAGTTGATTTTTATCTACATGAGTAGAGCAAGGGGTGTTATTCTGACCTATGCCAAATTGACGATGCTATTCATTTGTTTCTTGATCGGTTTTGGTGGGGTATTTTATTAGGGGTTGAAGATAATGGCTACCTCGAAGGGGTGGTAAGTATTATATTCTTCTTATATTGCATTTTGATTAATTTTTTTTAAATTATTAATAAATTCACTAATATATTTATTTTTTTATAAAACAACATATTGATGCATGGATGTCACGTATTCTAATAATAAGGAAATTGAAGAAAAGAGGTACTCGATGGACTATTATGCTGACGTCTTTTCACGCAGCTCACTTGAAGGATCAGAGAGTTTTATAAGTTGGCTAATGGAAAAGCTAAACTTTATCCTGCATGGTGGGAGGTCGATAAGGTTAGTATTTATTTTTTTGAATATTTTAAAGGTTTCATAAATTTTATTTGATGTGCGCAATCATTTATGATTGCAGGTGTTTATCCCTATTTTGGAACGTCGTCATTGGCTTCTCGTCGAGCTTCAGCTCCCATCCCTGAAGACAATGGTATATGATAGCATGTTGAATTACATACCATTGTTTAATTTGAGAGATATTATTACAAAGGGATGGAGCGATCATTTGGCTAAATACTTGAATGCGATTGATTATTGGAAAAATTCTGGAAACAAGAAGCCAAAGAAGTTCAAAATTACAATTATCAGAAACGAGACTGCGCCACAAAAAACGCAGGGAGCCAGAGGGGATCGTGGTCCTCTCGTATTCTTGTGCTTGGAATGTTTGACGACAGGAAGTATACAGTATCTACCTCCCATAGATAGAGATAGAGATGCAGTAAGCTTGTGGTTTCGGCATAAATGGTCAGATCGATATATGCGAGACGTTGCCTACCTGCATCCGTGTGCTGAAAGTTGTATATAAACAATTGATAAGTTTGAGCAAGTGTTGTTAACATATATACTCTTTAATTGGTTTGAAAATATTTGGTTAAGTACCTATAATTCAGTAATTTACTGTTTGTTGGTTTTAGATGTGTAGAAAGTGTTGTTTGAGCAAATGTTTGGTTTCTGCAGGTTAATCCTGAAGTGAGCTGCGTGAAATGTATTTGTGCATAAACAACAGTCTGGGGTACACTTTTTTTTCTTTGTTTAATTGAATTTTACATTGAAAGTTGATTTGTTTAATTGATGAGGAAATAAGATTTTTTTTTGATTAATTTATTTATAAAATTTGATTTGTTTAATTTGATTTGTAAATAAGAATTTTTTTGCTTGTTTAATTGATTTGTAAAAGTTGATTTGCTGTTTCTAAAAAATTCAATCTGCATTATGTTTGAAGGCAAAAAAGACCTGTTGAAGGTACAAATTCGCAACGCGAAAGTTAAATTCGCAATGCGGAAGTCAAATTTGCAACGTGAAAGTCAAATTCGCAACGCTTATTTCACGTTTCGATAGTCAAATTCGCAACACGATTT